GCTCTTGTAACAGCTCTTCTAGGGTCACTCTATTTATCTCATCAGAGACTCTATTAGCTTCGAAAATTTCAGAGTCCTTCAGAGTTTGGACATTCACTTGCACAATGCCTATCCGGAAGGCGACAAGGTTCGGAGGTGGTTCGATCTTGGTGTTTAAACTCGCCAATTTCGATGAAGCATCTAGGGGGCCTGTTGGAAATGGAGACATGGAGTGTTGTGGACGTACGGGCCCTCCATTTCGTCTAGGTTCCCGACACGATCTTGTGTGTATTTAAGAGGTTGGAATGGGTAATATGGTAGCGCTTCAGGCTACCGACTGGATATCGAAGTGGCTGTGTGACGTGGGCACAAGGAGGTTATTGGGGGTTTTTCTATGTCAAGATGGCGCCACACCCGTTTATGCTGTGGCTTAGGCTACGTGTCGCTTTCATTTGTACTCTTTTTTTTGCATCAGATTTTAATTGCGTATGCAGCTATCTAGCTATGACACAATATCAAAGAAAAGTACAGAAAAGATGACTCAATTTACAAGAGGAGCACTCATGCTTCAGATTTCATTTGCAGGTACCACTGCGAAGTTATGGTGGCTTTTTCTTCACCCCAAGTCAACCCTCATCCGTGAGTACCTACCCAGGGGAACGTCTCAAAAACCCTGAGTTATCCAGACATGCCTCCGTCATCCATCAACTTTTCTCCGCGCGAAATATGGTCTGAGATGTCTCCTTCCCAAGTGGAGTAGGTGCCCAGGCTACTCAAACCATACCAGAGAACACCACCAGGAGGCGGACCACGGCACCTTCCATCTACACTTGTACTTGTAGCGCAAACTTCCCACACTTTTAGTTTTAATCCGAACATGACACTCTTTTACTCAACTTCTACTTTCGTTCCATAAATATTGCGCCCATTTCATTGCGCGATATTTCCAACAAGGCCTTATCTTTGTTCGTCATTTTTTTCCATTTTGGCAAAAAACGACTTAACTCGGTGTATAGAGCTAGTATTAATTGAAACGCATGTGGTATGCTCGAACAATGCGAACAAGGTACCCTCGGGGGACAATTCCCGCCACGGGTGGCTGCTGTAAAGTCTGAGCAAAGTCATTTGTCCAATTTTTCCTTCACAACCTCTTTTTTTTGGGCTGTAGCCGCAGATTGCAGCACAGTTTTGAATGTAGGTAATACTTTTTGTCGCAGTCCATTTCGCATCACTGTAGCCCAGGTACTTGTGGGCTTCGCTAGGATGGCGGGTTAATTTGGCTACTGACAACGGGAACTCGAGGAGGAGGATGGCGTCGAGACCGAGCCCGAGGCCATGTTTTGCGCGATGGCAGCACATAAGTCGACTCTTATCGAGTCTACGAATCGTACCTTTGACCCGTTGTTCAAAAGAAGAAGTGTTGCTTCGACGCCAGAGATGGCCACGAAACAGAGCGCTATATTGGCCGCTATTTCGGCGAGGCGTCGTTCTTCAGCTTCGAGAAACGATCAAAGCTCGGGCGGGCAGTCTGCTTTTGTAGCAGCTTTTAGCTGCTGCGCTGTTTATGATAATGCTTTTGGAGCAGCGTTCTCCGTCTGTTTTAACTCGCTCGGAGAAGATTTGGAAGGTCCTCCTATCCCGTGGGAGATGGAGGCTGGTTAAGGAACCTCAACAATTCCGACTGACCCGATTAAGTCAGTATCGGGCGCAGAGACTGTGGGAAGGGCTTAATCCTTCCATTTGCTTGTAGACTTGCCCATATCCACGCATTTTGGAGGCTGGGCAAGGCTCATTGTTTGATCGAGAGCCCTCGAGCGTACGCTAGTGTTATTCAACATGGCGTTTGGATGCTATTTCCGAACAGGCGGCATGACAAGACTACCGGAAGCTCGTTCTCAATTTTCCGAATGCATGCGTCGATCGCGAGAGGGGAGGGACGGGGAATATGGGAATATTCGAAGTGTGTCAGAAATGGTAGCATAGACCAAATGTCATAGCTTGATAGCTGAATACTCCTTTTAATGGTTTAGGAAATGAGGCCGTGAAAGAAGCGTAGGTGGGATAAAATACACGAACCAGGAGTGTTCACGGTCTATCGCCACTGACGTTCTCTACGTTTGATGTAGCTTTAGACCTATGTAAACAATAAACCATAAAATTCAATTTAACTACATGCAGATATGGATGCTGAACTAAAGCATTGTCTAGAGATCATCAATTGATACATAACCATGGATTGAGATGAGGCTTAAACCCAACGTTGATAATACTTAATTGATATTTTATTTAAATTGTGTTCAGCTATCTAGCTATGACACATGATCATTGCTATACATACATATGGAATGAATCTTTTGAAGTTAAAGACACTCATACTCTAGATTTCATTCGCAAATATCACTACGAGATATGTTTGCTTATACAAACAGTCAACCCTCCTCCGTAAGTACCCACTTAAGGGAAATTCAAAACCTTTGACTATCCAAGCATGCCTTCGTCATCCATGTATAACAGCGTCGCGAGAAATGGGGTTGTATTTTGCCGGATTTGAACCAGTCATCTCCTGTCTCAGGTGGGGTATGTGTTCAAGCTTTCCTGAATCTACGTGGAAGACCGGTCCACATGATGTAACAACGCATGATTCATCCATGGAAGTGTTTTTTGTGTCGCGTGCATTCTCACAGTCGAAGTAGTATGGCACGCAAAGCTCAATTTGTAAAAATATTTTCAAAATTTTAAAATCTCACATTTTTCGAGATTTTATCCATCCTCGTCATCATCTTGTGAACTTGTCCTGATTTCTTTCACGTCCATTCCAAAGAACTGTCTCTCAGATTTGTGCGCCACGCTTTGTGTCCTCCGTCGTGTATCTATATTCTTGAAGACGTGTGTATGGAGGCCATTTGAGGCCAGGGGCTGATCAAACGAGAGGCGTGCTCATTCAAATTAAGATATACTAGATCGTACTTGCAGACTTGATGAGGTTTTTACGGTAATCGACCTTGCTGGGAGTGAGATATTGACTTGTTTGGGTGGATAGAATCATTGCCTCGTGGTGCAACTTAATCGGTTTTGCGAAGTCTGGCTGAACTTGGCTTTGGGATAATATTACACTACCAGGTTCGCAGAGAACACCGCATACAGGTATTAAATCTTGCCGTCCTGATTTATTTTACAATGAACGTCACTAATATATGCACAACTCGAGTCCTTTTGGTCTTAATTCCGACTGCAGAACCCTGGCGCAGACTTCGCGTAATTTGAGTACAAGTCAATTTTCAAGGTCTCTCATCGCTGTATGACCCGATCATGCACAGAGGCTATGAGTGGCTCTACTCAAAGGAAAACAATCCATATGTTAAAATTGCCCCGAAATGAGAGCTGATGTGAGTTTAAATTCATCTGTGTCATGAGTCCTTAAGTGGTGTCTAGTACACTTACTACATAGCTCTGCCTGTCCGGGCTCACAGTCTACCCCGACAAATCATTCTGATTGTTGAGCGCTACAATGAGATCCGAAAAATATAGCAAACAAAATATCACTTCTGCCTTGGAATCTGTCACTCTGATCTCAGATGTGCTTCGAACGGGGCGGTTGTCACCAGCACGAAAAAGCCACCAGCAATAAGCTACGACACACGCCATTAAAAACCGGGGCACAGAAAAAACAGAGACTTTCTTTCGATCATAGTGGGGAAACTTGGCTAATTAGCGAAAATTTTATGACCATTTTTTAATGGAAACAAAATAACAAAGACAGATTGAATGCACAAGTTTACACAGTTTTTTCCAAGCACGGGTTGGAAGCTTTTGAGGGTTGTAAATTAAATTATTCATGTTAATTACGCACTGGTAAAGGGCGTAGCGGTGCAGCAGCTAAAAGAGACGGTGTCTGAGCCCTAATCTGACACGATTCAACACATGTCAGGAATTATCGCATGGACTCTGTCATTTAAGTTTTTCGAGGGCTCTATCAATGCCATATCATCTAACCTGACCCAGTCCGGCCAGCCCGGATCCGCTCGAATTACATTCTAGTAGTAGTTCCAACAACCTAGCACCAAGGGCTCTAAAAGATCCACAAGATCCAACAAAAAATAGTCTTACCTAGAGCCTGTAGCTTATCGAAGACTCTTGCGATGTAGAGGATTTAATCACACGACTCGCGTGGATTATAAACAACTGTCGCTCATGTTCAGATTTAGTAGAGCAAATCCCTTGGGCCAAGCATGAACAGGATCTTCTAAAATCCACAATAGCTACAACCAAGTATTTTCAACCTTAATTAATAGTATAGAAAATATCTTAAAATAAAATGCTGAATATCTTACTGAACTTCTATCGGCAACAGATATGATATATCTTCTTTGGAAACCTCGTCTAGCTGCTACGATAAATTCTTTTCATGTCTTATTGCTTGAACCCACATGTACCACTATCCGGAAATGAAATTACTGCGTGTGCCGCTGTAGATGACGAATCGGGCCGGGAGTGCAGGACTATTGAGCGAATGACTGATGGGTCAGAACAGGGAGTTGTCAAGAATTCATATCTTTTCGGTAATAGCCATGATTCTGTGTAAGCTTTCCATGTATGAAATGGCGTCCTAACAACCTGCAACCAGGAAAATTAGTCGTTGACTGCACTTTCACTTATAGGCCTAGCGTTGATTAATAGCCCATGTAGTCGTAAAATGAACTGTTCGCTCCATGAATGGTAAGTACATTAGGACAGTGCTGGCCGAAATTTTACGAATATATGCCATCAATCTTTCATTTGTTAATTTTCTAATTTAAATCTAAAGGAGTTAAATCTCGTACCAAATTCATCCAAACTCCACCTATCTTATCTCTCACTATCCGAATCTGGATCCACTATATGGGGCAGAAAACAGTCAAAGCAAGGTCCTCTCACTTCATCTTCCCTTCACACATAAAGAACGTTCAGGTCACCACAAGTCTACTTTCATCTATTCCAAGGCCCACTGGAACAATATAGGTTAAGAACAAGCTCCAAAATAGATGAGCCAGCAGACTGAGCCTGTCCAGCCTATCATGGAGATGGACAAGAGTGGTATATTTCACGATTCAAGTGAAAACTCCCAGGATTCCGAGGAGAGGCAGGATGAAGACCGACCTCAACTCAAACGCCAGCTGAAAGCTAGACATATGCAGATGATTGCAATTGGTAAGCTATCCTATTTTCTGATCTTCACTGATATCACCTGACATTTTTTAGGCGGAACTATTGGTACAGGTCTTTTCATCGCTTCTGGTGCTTCAATTGCCACGGCAGGCCCTGCAGGCGCCTTAATTGCCTATACATTCGTGGGATCTGTGGTTTTCTCCGTGATGAACTCTCTAGGCGAGATGAGCACTTACATTCCAATAAGTGGTGCATTTACCGCATTTGCATCTCGCTTTGCCCACCCCTCTCTCGGATTTGCAATGGGATGGGTTTACTGGTTTTCTTGGGCCATGACATTTTCTCTCGAGCTTACTGCTATCGGGCTAGTTATTCAATATTGGCTACCTCGTCTCAAAATAAGTATATGTATCGGCGTATTTTGGGTCTTTCTAACAATACTCAACTTTTTACCGGTATCCATTTTCGGTGAATTTGAGTTTTGGCTTTCGTCCGTCAAAGTTATCACCGTCGCAGGATTTTTAATATTTGCTATATGTATTGATGCAGGGGCAGGTCAACATGGATACCTAGGCTTTAGCACATGGAGAGATCCAGGCGCATTCGCGCCATATCTTATCACCTCTTCTCCGGCATTAGGAAAATTTATTGGATTCTGGGCCGTTATGATACAAGCTGGCTTCTCATATCAAGGCACTGAACTCGTAGGAATCGCGGCCGGTGAATGCGAAAACCCTCGGAAAAATGTACCAGCAGCCATTCGAAAAACATTTTTTCGTATCCTCATCTTCTTCGTCTTAAGCATCTTTTTTATCGGCCTCCTCATACCTCATGACAATGAATTGCTACTTTCCGAATCTTCTAATGCAACAGCATCACCTTTTGTGATAGCTGCAAATCTCGCAGGCGTCAAGGTACTCTCAGGAATTATCAATGCCGTCCTTTTATTTGTTATTCTCTCTGCTGCTAATAGCAATATCTACTCAGGATCTCGTGTTCTTCTTGGGCTTGCTAATGATGGCTTTGCTCCAAAGTTTGTTACTCGCACCACTCAAAACGGGATCCCTTACATCGCCGTGGCTTTCACCTCTTCCTTCGGTCTCCTTGCTTTCCTTAATGAGAGTGATCGCGGAGGGGAAGTTTTCAGCTGGCTCATGAATATTTCGGCCATATCTGGCTTCATTACATGGGCTTGTATTAGTTACTGTCATATCGCATTTATGCGCGCTCTTGAAGCTCGAGGTATATCGCGCGATACACTCCCCTTCAGCGCATTGGGTGGAAAGTGGTTTGCCTGGTACGGACTATCATTTAATGTTCTAATTATTTTGACACAAGGTTTTACTGCTTTCATTCCTTGGAATTCTTCCAAATTTTTCACTTGCTACATATCACTATTACTTTTTATTGTGTTATTTGTGGGTCATGTATTGGTTATGAAAACTAAATTTGTAAGTCCACTTGAGGCAGATATCAAGACGGGTCGCCTGAAAGGAGAGGGAGAGGGCGAGACTTGGAGTATTGAAAGACCAAAAACTTTTGGGCAAAAGATTATGGAGTGGCTTTTATAAGTGGTCATTGGTAGTTATCATAATAATCAGTGGTTTGGCGTTGTATGCAAGATTATTGAACTCAGAGATATATGTATTATATTATGATGGCACGGCGCTATGAAGGATATAATGGAGATAATTTTAGCCCGTTCTTATGCTTGGAGTTTTAAAATACCTGTTCACCCCTAACCTTGGCTTCTCAATAGTCATTTCATTGTACCCTCGATTGGGTTCTGGACTGGTTCAACCTAACCACCCTAGCCCTTTGTTTTGTCTAGATACCAGCATCCAGAAAGTAGGCATCAAAGAAGAGTGTTTGAGTAGAATCTAGAGGTCGTTATTATCTTCCTCAAGCAAAGACTCCTATCAAATTCTGGATACATGTTTGCTTTGACTATGACAACATGTCGGGGTTCAGCACGAAACAGAAGGCCGCGTGTAGATTGGCTCTAAGCCTATGGGGATATAATTTTTTGCGTCAGATTTTAATTGCGTATGCAGCTATCTAGCTATGACACAGTATCGGAGAAAAAGTACAGAAAAGATGACTCAATATACAAAAGCACTCTAGCCTCAGATTTCGTTTGTAAGTACCACCGCGAAGTTATGGTGGCTTTTTCTTCGCCCCAAGTCAGCCCTCATCCGCGAATGCCCACTCAGGAAAACATCTCAAAAGCCCTAAGTTATCCAGACATGCCTCCGTCATCCACTGACTTGTCTCCGCCTCATTAACATTATTAGTAGAGTCGGAGCTATTTTGGATTGATGTTCTTTGATTTTGATGTCAGATTTTTTTTGCGTGTGCAGCTAGCTAGCTATGACCCAATATCAGGAGGTGTAAGGATTCTGGAGAAATGCCTCAGGCAGGATTTATGGGTTCCTTGTTTAGCACCACTAGGCTTTTTTTTTGCATCAGATTTTAATTGCATATGCAGCTATCTAGCTATGACACAATATCAAAGAAAAGTACAGAATAGATGACTCAATTTACTATAGAAGCACTCATGCCTCAGATTTCATTTGCAAGTACCACTGCGAAGTTATGGTGGCTTTTTCTTCACCCCAAGTCAACCCTCATCCGTGAATACCCACCCAGGGGAACGTCTCAAAAACCCTGAGTTATCCAGACATGCCTCCATCATCTTTCAACTTTTCTCCGCGCGATATGTGATCTGGGGTGTCTCCTTCCCAAGTGGAGTAGGTGCCCAGGCTACTCAAACCATACCAGAGAACACCACCAGGAGGCGGACCACAACACCTTCCATCGTCGGTTTGCGTTTATAGTGTCAGCTGTACTCTCGCAAGCGAAGTCTTGGCGCGCACAAAGCCCAATTCGTAAAACTCTTTCCAAAATTCGAAATTTCACCACCACTAGCCTTATCGCCTAGCGAGGATAGTTTTTTTTTTTTTTTTTTTTGCATCAGATTTTAATTGCATATGCAGCTATCTAGCTATGACACAATATCAAAGAAAAGTACAGAATAGATGACTCAATTTACTATAGAAGCACTCATGCCTCAGATTTCGTTTGTAAGTACCACCGCGAAGTTATGGTGGCTTTTTCTTCGCCCCAAGTCAGCCCTCATCCGCGAATGCCCACTCAGGAAAACATCTCAAAAGCCCTAAGTTATCCAGACATGCCTCCGTCATCCACTGACTTGTCTCCGCCTCATTAACATTATTAGTAGAGTCGGAGCTATTTTGGATTGATGTTCTTTGATTTTGATGTCAGATTTTTTTTGCGTGTGCAGCTAGCTAGCTATGACCCAATATCAGGAGGTGTAAGGATTCTGGAGAAATGCCTCAGGCAGGATTTATGGGTTCCTTGTTTAGCACCACTAGGCTTTTTTTTTGCATCAGATTTTAATTGCATATGCAGCTATCTAGCTATGACACAATATCAAAGAAAAGTACAGAATAGATGACTCAATTTACTATAGAAGCACTCATGCCTCAGATTTCATTTGCAAGTACCACTGCGAAGTTATGGTGGCTTTTTCTTCACCCCAAGTCAACCCTCATCCGTGAATACCCACCCAGGGGAACGTCTCAAAAACCCTGAGTTATCCAGACATGCCTCCATCATCTTTCAACTTTTCTCCGCGCGATATGTGATCTGAGGTGTCTCCTTCCCAAGTGGAGTAGGTGCCCAGGCTACTCAAACCATACCAGAGAACACCACCAGGAGGCGGACCACAACACCTTCCATCGTTGGTTTGCGTTTATAGTGTCAGCTGTACTCTCGCAAGCGAAGTCTTGGCGCGCACAAAGCCCAATTCGTAAAACTCTTTCCAAAATTCGAAATTTCACCACCACTAGGCTTATCGCCTAGCGAGGATAGTTTTTTTTTTATTTTTTTTTTGCATCAGATTTTAATTGCATATGCAGCTATCTAGCTATGACACAATATCAAAGAAAAGTACAGAATAGATGACTCAATTTACTATAGAAGCACTCATGCCTCAGATTTCATTTGCGAGTACCACTGCGAAGTTATGGTGGCTTTTTCTTCACCCCAAGTCAACCCTCATCCATGAATACCCACTCGGGAGAACGTCTCAAAAACCCTGAGTTATCCAGACATGCCTCCGTCATCCATCAACTTTTCTCCGCGCGAAATGTAATCTGAGATGTCTCCTTCCCAAGTGGAGTAGGTGCCCAGGCTACTCAAACCATACCAGAGAACACCACCAGGAGGCGGACCACAACACCTTCCATCGTTGGTTTGCGTTTATAGTGTCAGCTGTACTCTCGCAAGCGAAGTCTTGGCGCGCACAAAGCCCAATTCGTAAAACTCTTTCCAAAATTCGAAATTTCACCACCACTAGGCTTATCGCCTAGCGAGGATAGTTTTTTTTTTATTTTTTTTTTGCATCAGATTTTAATTGCATATGCAGCTATCTAGCTATGACACAATATCAAAGAAAAGTACAGAATAGATGACTCAATTTACTATAGAAGCACTCATGCCTCAGATTTCGTTTGTAAGTACCACCGCGAAGTTATGGTGGCTTTTTCTTCGCCCCAAGTCAGCCCTCATCCGCGAATGCCCACTCAGGAAAACATCTCAAAAGCCCTAAGTTATCCAGACATGCCTCCGTCATCCACTGACTTGTCTCCGCCTCATTAACATTATTAGTAGAGTCGGAGCTATTTTGGATTGATGTTCTTTGATTTTGATGTCAGATTTTTTTTGCGTGTGCAGCTAGCTAGCTATGACCCAATATCAGGAGGTGTAAGGATTCTGGAGAAATGCCTCAGGCAGGATTTATGGGTTCCTTGTTTAGCACCACTAGGCTTTTTTTTTGCATCAGATTTTAATTGCATATGCAGCTATCTAGCTATGACACAATATCAAAGAAAAGTACAGAAAAGATGACTCAATTTACTATAGAAGCACTCATGCCTCAGATTTCATTTGCGAGTACCACTGCGAAGTTATGGTGGCTTTTTCTTCACCCCAAGTCAACCCTCATCCATGAATACCCACTCGGGAGAACGTCTCAAAAACCCTGAGTTATCCAGACATGCCTCCGTCATCCATCAACTTTTCTCCGCGCGAAATGTAATCTGAGATGTCTCCTTCCCAAGTGGAGTAGGTGCCCAGGCTACTCAAACCATACCAGAGAACACCACCAGGAGGCGGACCACAACACCTTCCATCGTTTGCTTGTTTTTATAGTGTCAACTGCACTCTCGCAAGCGAAGTCTTGGCGCGCACAAAGCTTAATTCGTAAAACTCCTTGCCAAAATTCGGAATCTCATGCCCTTCGAGGTTATATCCGTCCTTCGCATCATCTTGTCAACTTGTCCAGATCCCTCTCACATCCATCCCATAGAACTGTCTCCCAGATTTGTGCGCCACGCCTTGCATCCTCCGGCGGGTATAAATATCGGCGTGGGCGTGTATTTGGTGACCAGCTGAGGCCAGAGAAGGTCGAAGAGTGGTGTGGTCATTGGAATGAGGATGTACTTGGTCGTACTTGTAGACTCGATGAGACGAAGATAGGGGTCAAACTCGTTAGGAGCGAAATAACGAAGTGGATGAGTAATTTGGATTTTTGCCTCGTGGGCCAACTTCTTTGATATTGCGAAATTTGACTGAACTTGGCTCTGGGAGAATATTTCACTCCCAGGTTCGTAGAGGATACCGCGGATAGGTGTTCAGTCTTGCTCTCCTATCTTACCACCTTGTTTTTGTCTAATCTTCGCCAGTAAATTTTGATTGTCACAATATATAATTATATATAATGTAATATTTGCCAAGCAGAAACAAACTCAGAAGCCTCGGCAGTTAGCAACTGCAGATTCCGAAACTTGGAGAGCAGCCAAATTTTACCGATGTAGAGAGTCTGGACAGCAAAAACTGAGTTTTCAAGGCTCACCATTCTTTCTACATCATAACCCGACAAGGGCCAAAAGCAGTTTCGTGATGCAAATACGAAGTGGGCACATGGGGCTTAACTCGCATTTACAAAGAAGAAAGGTACCCGGAGTACTAAGTCCAGGTTGTCCATGTGGCTACCAATCACACAACCCCAAGCATATGATTATGTCCTGCCCCCGATGGTCAAATGGTAGAGCTGAGATCTGCTGACAGCCAAAGATCGGTCCTACGGAGCGATGATAAATAATCCTGGAGATATAAAAAGGATAACACAGTGGATCCTAAACCATGGTTGGATAGAGCAATTCTAGATGACAAAGGCGGTAGAAATGCTGCTGAGGGAAAGGAAAAGGCCAATTAATGCTTGGGTCAGATAGAGATGATCTAGTTGGTTTACATGGATGGCATTATAGTGTAGCTGCGCTTCCCGAAGAAAATATGTGAGAACTATAGACAACAAGTAGAAAGGTGTGGGAGGTTTTTACCATAAAGGTTTTCTCCCGGGTAAATATTATTGATTGTAGACACCTGCATGAGCCCATAGGGCGCCAAATCAGGATAATGAAATCAAAATCAAAATGTAATATGTGTGTAATAATTATGTGACGTGGCTCTTGACTTGTGGATGGATGCGAGTATGTGTTGTTTGGTATAATGGACTACTCGATGAATTTATTGATAAGTTGATTTAAATTTAAGTCTCTACTGAATCATAGACTATAAAAGATGGGCGTATGATCGTCTTATTGCGGCAAGTACAGACCACGGGGACTACGCCGACTACCATCGACGTTTCAACCCCGAACAAGAAATCTGAAATGCGTTTGCGGCCGAGAGAAAAGGCCCTGGCATTTTTCAGAGTGCCGCCCTGCTTTGCTACGTTGGAGAATCTATGAGAAAATGGCCCCACCTGGGGCCAGGGAAATGATAGGGGAGAATGGATGGCAGAAGTTCATTCAATTCTTAACTACAAGCAGATGTTACAGTCTGCCGAAGAATGAACAGGGTGGGAGGTGACCACGCTGAGATTGTTTCCGACCCGAGAGGAGATGGGTGTGGGAGATAGGGATGCTGCGCAGGGCACCGCAACTCAGACAAATACTGTTCATTTTTTTTCTTTTCTTTTGTCGCTTCTGGCTTCACTGCCGGTCATGTAGGTAGCAATAAGCTTTCAGAGCCCATCTACCCGTGTCACGTCTAAATAGATGTTAGGTTCTTCCTGTCACGTAAAAGATTTCAAATTCAAATTCATAGACTATAAAAGACTACACAGGATTTATTTAATCAGTTCCTTAGTTCGTGGGTTTTGGTTTGATTTCATTTAGGCCGTTCAGGTACCCTGTGGGTGTTATGATTGATGACATAACCACCACTGCATCTGGTTATTGTGGATCGCAGAGATGAAGAATCTGATGGTTGAAACAGAACAGACTAGAGTTAGATAGAATAGAACAGGATGGAATAGAATGCGATGACTCAGAGCTGAATGGAACTGAGCGACTGGGGATATGGAAAGCCATAGAATGTGGTATATGTACATAAAAGTAGTGATACTCTAAACTAGAGTGAGAGTAATCAAGTCCACTTATTCATTACAATCTACCTCTATCTTCAAGTCTCAGTGAACGTGCAGCTATTTACAGGTAACAATTCCACCTCTTAGAGTAGGATGGTGCAGTGGTTGACCATCCGGGCCGTTCTCCCACGTAGATACTGGGTAGCTTGAACACCTACCCCATTCGAGACAGGAAAAAGCTGGTTCGCATCCAGTAAAACCCACACACCACTCTCTCTCACCATGATATTGTACTTGTGGGATGACGGAAGCACACTCGGATAGCCACAGGTTTTTCCCGCTTTTCCCTGTGGTGGGTATGCACGGAGGAGGTTATATGCCGTAAGGGTTAATCTCGAGTGGTATCTGCAAATGAAATCTGAGATTGAGTGTGAGTGTTCTGAACTTCAAATTGAGTCATCCTTCCTAAAGAAATATCTTCCCATAAAACCTGCATGGGCCTCAGAGTGCCAAATTAGGAAAAGTGAATTTGATTTGATTTCATTTAGCCCGTTCAGGTATATCTAGCTACAATATTTACATAGGAGGAAACTAAATTCGGTAAAAGCCCCTAAAACTGTGTGTCTCATGTCTATTGGTTTCCTACAAGAAGTGCGTTTACACTGTTTATACAGCGTGAATTCCGTCCTATCCTTGACCACATCGTCTCATCTTTTCGTCCAATGCTATCTACACTTCTTCTGCAAGCCAGAATTGTTCAAACCAGTCTTTTGCCATGATCCATTTTATTATTCTCTCTATGTCATCTGGGCTGTTCATCATTGCCGCAAATGACCTGTCTTTTGCCTTTCGAAGCACCTCTCCTCTTCCCATTGCCCACTGAGGACACGCCAAGACCATAAATTTGTCATTTTGAGACGGATATCCACACTCACAATTTAGATTAGTTACTCCGGGGACTTTCCTTTGATATAGATAAGAATTGAGACCAATGTGCTCACTCCTTTTCTGAATTGCAATACTACTGTGGGCCCTACTAGGGTTCCTGTGGATATCTGAGAGTGTGTTTCTATATGTAATCCTTTTTCTGCCTGTTTTCTCATCTATAACAATATTTGCGGCTTTCCAATGCTCAGGGTCTGCCGAAGCTCGATGACCAGATAGTATCTCGTTCGCTGGACGTGTCCATGAGTTTTTCCACTCCTGGAACGCGGCCACCTAACCAGCTTCTTTTTGTCTCCCTTTCGCATTCTTTAGTCTGCAAATTCTGGTCCATTCTTCAATGTCTTGCTTTCGATTCTTGGCGTGCCTGTTCTCGGTTCCCCTTGTAGTCTGCTTAACTTTGCTGCACGCAGATAGTATCGATCTCCTGACAGGTAGTCCTTCTGATAGTCCGACGTGTTGGACCCTCCTTTGTTTCAGGTAGATATCTATCGGGAGAACCGAAGATTCGTGTTCCAGGATCCTACTGCTGGCAGAGTTGTATGACCCTGTAGTAAGCTTCAAGCATTTTCGTTGGATACTTCGCAGTGGTTTGACTATCCTTTCTGGTATCCTACCCGTTGACCCAGCTGCAGCCCATATAGAACACCCATAAATCAGGGCTGGTCTCACTATTGTGCTGTACAAAAGCTCTGACTTCTTGAATGTTGCACCCCAAGTTGACTGCGTCAATCTCCTTATTGACTGTATTTGGGCGTGTGACTTTTGTTGGATATGCTTTACATGGGAGATAAATTTTCTATTTCAAATTCATCTATTACTTTTGAAATTGAAATTTGTATTTTTTTAGCTGGGTTTTCTGCTAATGTTACAAGTCTCTTCTGCCTTCAATATTGACAGGATAAGTTCTGGACAGTTTAAGCAATCTAAATGTATACTTGCACAATTGCTGGTTTAATCTTATTCTTGTTGGCATCAAGACTGCTTTTACTTCCATGACAAGTATTGGAGCCGTCATAAGCACCCCAGGTATAGTGAGGGGGACTATTCCCAATACCTGTCAGTGGTGTCCCCTACGAGCCTCCAGCTCTCACTGTAGAGTCTGCAGAGCCGAGATTGGGTAACACAGTCCTCACTTCGACGAGGATTCCCAAGCGCTTTCGCGGTCTGTATCGTCTTCATCTCTCTGCACACCCCACTATCACCATTACCATGAAGCTAACCACAATCAGATTAGACGGAAGGGTCGGAGCCCTACTCATCACCGACCCTTGATCATGGAGGAAAAGCCATCCGATGAGTTTCCGGAGCCTACCCAGCACCCGATACGGAGATGGTGGATTGGATGAGTTCGGGCTCGAATGTTACAAAGAAGGGAGATATGGATGAATATGCGCACCTCATGTGGTCCCGGTGTCTAGGCCTCGCCTGGCTGGGGCTGCAGGATTTTTGAGACGTTTTTCCCGCGCACGCAGTTTCCATTGCTGCCATTTTTTGGGTAGAAGGTTTCTTAGAAAAGGTGACCGAACCCCCCGGGTAAACATTGAGCTGAATAGTTATTCATTACGAGCCATGTATCAATGGTATTTCAAGTAATAAAAGAGGCATGGGGCACTGTACGAGGTGTGACCTTATTCAGAGGAGCACCATGTGCTAGATATTCTGTGACTCAAGTAGTACAATAAACACATCTCACTATTTACTTAAATTATTGCCCCTCCTTAGTCCATGATTACAAAGCATATGTAGGCCCCCTCTACCTAAAAGCCAAGAGTATCTATGGCTTGAGTAGTATATCACATACCATACACTTTTTGTAGCTCTTTTCGTACATTGTTAGCCTTTGCAGGTCATCATTTCGTAATGCACATGTAGGATCTTTTTGCCCTTCAATATCTCTCCTATCAACCCATTAAAACAAAGGCCCTTGCGGGTGAGTCGCAACCGGGAAGACTCATTAGAAATCCTCTGCGCGTGCCTCTCTTACTCCAAGCATTAGGACTAAATCTGATGAGATAGCTAGCTGTGTGACGCGTCCCAGGAAGACAGCCAGCCAAGTGAATGAAAGCTCTTTTGTATATACGTCTGACTTTTTTTACCTTCCTTGCTCACTTTATACTCGTACCATGATTTGCGTCACAAGGAATTTGAAGGTTGTAATGAGATGTTAAAGAATATCTAAAAGATAGCGTGTACTGTGAATTAGCCTAGACCAATTTATTTGTCCCGACTTAAATACAAGTGAATTTCGTAAAATCGTCATCAACGGTGGCCCTCTTGTCTGTAGGTGGCCTCAGTATCGGCTCCATAGTCCCCACAGTGAAAGCTGAAGGGATTAAATCTTCGTCCACCAACCGGGAGCTGCGAACTCTGTAAAATTACAAGACCTTTTTAGAGTGCGAATTATTCGGCAAGTAGGCCTGAGACATTTTATCTTGATATCTATATTCCAGCCGATGAGAAGTTGTTGAATCTTTCTTGGAATATTATTTATAAGTCCTCAATATGCATCGGCTAAAATACTGTAGTTAAATTAAGTGAATTTGGTTTTTACAAAATAAAACGGCCACTCCTTATGCCAAAAGATGGTGGAGGTACACGAAGTTTTCATGAGAGAAATTATCTACCTCTCACCCTGAACACAGGACGCATTGACTCTATTCGCTTTCCTCGAGGATCATTTCAGGTTGCGATGTATCAGGTGTCGCCGGTAAACCTTACGCCGTGCCGTTCCATGTCCCCCATGATGCCACCAACTCCAAGCTATGCAATATTGTTATACAATTATTTCTGGAGAAATGAGACTTTCTCTTCCTCAGGTTCGCAGCATCTAGTCTGAGCCTGAGCCAGACATTCGCATCATTTCGAACCTTTCTATTCCGTCTTTTATCCCTTCTCTGCCACTATCCATTTCGGCCTGGTCGTTTCTGGTCTCAGAATTATGAGCGGTTCCTGTGATGGATTGATCTCGACCAAAGCTAATCGGTTTAAGTTCCCGCCTCTGACAGCTCCACATCCCCAGCACTGTCATCATGGCGGCACTGGCGGTTTGTAGCGCCCACCAGAGGGCATTTCGAGGAAGGGAGCGAGTATAGAAGCTTACGGTTAGGAAGTGAATGGCATGGAGTGTTAGAGAGAAGTCGAGAACGAATTTGGAGCGGTGGATTAGGACCAAAATTGCGACCACCCTAGAAAATGGGGATTAATAGAGCTCAAGTTGAGTCGCGACAAACACACCCGACGATAGAATTTAACATCCAGACCATACTCAGCATCCATCCTACGGTCGTGTCACCTCTCAAATTCTGCCAGTCTAATATTAAGTCTAGACTAAAGTGTTCACCGGCCACCAATGCGCTGAAGAGAATGAGAGCAAAGGCCGAAGAGTAATATATTAGCTGAAGCGCGATGATTTGGGTGAGAATTTTGCGCGGTGGTAGTTCGTTGAGAGCGCCAGCGCGGGGGGGCCGCCTTCTTCTGGCCATACTAGTTACTGATCGTCTTGCAAAGAGTTGACATTGCCGGGTCTAGGAGGAGTGGGTGTAGGAACAGATATGTGGCGGCAATACAAAACGTACACATAAATATAGCCCTGTACCCGTGTAGCTCCTTGGAAGGCGGTGAGACAATGAGCATTGTTTTGAGTTAGATGGTTTTCTGCCCGGGCCGGCATCTGATAAGTGAGTGACATCGTCACAGAATCAAGCCAATTATTTTCTAGTGTATACGCTCTCGAGACAACAACCTCTGGCCGAAATGGGACTATTAGGATATTTCGATAACTCTTCTGTGAAACCAAAACTCGCATCTGATGGTGCGCCCATTGCGCCCGATCGTTCACAGCGTGCCAAGTGTTGGGAGGCACGCGATGCCTTTTTCGAATGCCTAGATCGTCACAACATCATTGACAGTATCCGCGATAAGAACAAGGTGGAGGAGTTTTGCCGCCATGAAGAAAAACCATTTCAGCTGCAATGTGCATCGAGTTGGGTATGTTCCGAACCCTCCGGATGGGAAGCCGTGGAAAAATAGCTAATCTTTCCCCACGCAACCAGGTCACATATTTCAAGCAAAGACGAGTAGCAGAATGGAAAAAGGCCCGGACCATAGAGAAATTGACGGCTGAAGGAGCACAGCCATTGTCGGGAGAACTTCCAGCTTCACCCGTTCAAAAATCGTAACCATCTGTCGTGCAGTTATAATATGATATATGCGCACATGCAATAGATTGACGCCAGACATCTATGAAAATTTAATCTACCCAACGGACAAAATTATTCTATTGAAGGTAAAATATGAATTGGAAATCACACATCTGCTGACGATTCTTATCGTACAAAGCTTATCTCTTACATGAATTCTGCAAGAAATTTTCTTACTCTGGAATCTGCATTGATCCTACAATTTTTAGTATCCAGAGAGCAAAATTATAACACAGACCTTCGTCCGACAATTGGATGATAGTCTCTCTGTCTGTCGAAATAGCTCCAACCTGATATTTTACATGACAAACATAGTTATCTTCTACTTCTCATAGAGTTTTTACTGTTAGCGGCTCAATAATCTACTTTAACTTCGTTAAAAATATAAGACTTTGATTTTTTCACGCAGAGCAACATCAGGTGAATTGAGAACAATCACAAAAACATATAGATGGCTCACAATTAACGTATTTATAACCAGAAATGGCGAGAGTAATACCAATGCGGAATCAATTTCAAGTAGAAAATAAAGCGTGGTCACACATTTATCAGGGATGAAGTCAATTGAGATTTTACCCAGCTACATCTGTATCAAACCCAAATTTCTGATGGAATTTTTTGCACCAACGATCCATCTAACTTCGCCATTGAATTTTTGACCCGCTTTCAGTTATCAATTAGTTTGTGTGAAATATTAACTTTTGTTCGGAATAGATGTGCCAGTGTTCGAATTTGGTACACCAAAAACCCGAGTGCATAATAGATATAATGAATAATACAACACGCAGTCTATTATTTGCCATAATACAATGATCCTGACTTTTTTTTTTTGCATCAGATTTTAATTGCGTATGCAGCTATCTAGCTATGACATAATATCAAAGAAAAGTACAGAATGGATGATTCAACGTAATGGAAGAGCACTCATGCCTCAGATCTCATTTGCAAGTACCACTTCGAAGTTATGGTGACTTTTTCTTCATCCCAAGTCAACCCTCATCCGTGAATACCCACCCAGGGGAATGTCTAAAAATCCTGAGTTATACAGATATGCCTCCATATTTCAACTTTCCTCCGCGCGAAATGTGATCTGAGATGTCTCCTTCCCAAGTGGAGTAGGTGCCCAAGCTACTCAGACTATACCGGAGAACACCACTAAATGATCCTGACTATGACGGTGTTTAAAGTATAATTTAATATAACCCACCCATCAAAAATCAGATACCGAGTACATTTGTTCCCAAATATCCGTTTACGTACCTATATTCCTAAGGACTTTACAGATAGAATTCGACCAAGTCTAAACTTCTTACTTTTCTTAAAAAGGTGATTATGTGTACAAGTACGTAGGTTTTTCATACAGCCAGCGTATATTGGACATTTTAGATAACTCTTTTGACTTAAAAGACTTATACAATAGACATCTTTTGCGGATACCATTTGGAGAAGTTCTCGTAAGTGCCGGAAATAGTAGAGAAGTAGATCTTGACCTAATAGATGGGACGTGGAACCTCCAATGTGGGTCCCGTGTCCCCTGACTTAGGGTCGCCCATATTCTTGGACATAACACTTGTAGCAAGAGGATGGGGGGAGATAAGAAACAATATATACTTCATTAAAAGTTTTACTTCTAGTAACAATTGTAAGCAGCCATTATACGACTAATTTTATACTAGTTACGAGCCGTGCAGTGTCTAGACGATAGACGCGTCAGCTATTAAATGAATAAAATTTTCAATTGTCCTGATTTGACGCCTTGAGGCCCATGCAGGGTTTTATCGGAAGATATGTGCTTTAAGTAGGATGACTCAATTTGACGATTAGAACACTCACACACAGATTTCATTTGCAGATACCACTCGAGGTTAACCCTTACAGCGTATAACCTCTTCCGTGCATACCCACCACAGGGAAAAGCGGGAAAAACCTGTGGCTATCCGAGTGTGCTTCCGTCATCCCACAAGTACAATATCATGGTGAGAGAGAGTGGTGTGTGGGTTTTACTGGATGCGAACCAGCTTTTTCCTGTCTCGAATGGGGTAGCTGTTCAAGCTACCCAGTATCTACTTTGGAGAACGGCCCGGATGGTGTAACACTGCACTATCCAACCATAATTACGTGAAATACGACTAGTTTCAGAATGGTAGTTTCTGTAGCCAGTGATCAATGATCCGAGTATCGATCGTCGCTGTGCCCAGTTGTTACACTATGTCTTTGGGTAGGATTATAAAAGTCAAAAGGTTACTCCATGCCACGTGATGTGACCGCAACTACCCAAAAATCTTTGTCTTTGAGGTCCGCAGGATTCGAACCTGCGCGGTTTCCCACTGCGGATCAACCATGTGGCCTAAACACAGCGCCTTAACCACTCGGCCAGAACCCCTTCTTTTATTCATTAATCTAATTATAATAAAATAATTTAAATACATTTATAATTATTTGTTTTAACATTTAATGTGTATGCAGCTATAAAGCTATGACAAATGACACATGACAGGTGCTAAAATTCCTGAATATTCGTGAGAGAATCGATTAGATACCCCACTAGCATTACCGTTCCCCTCCGACTTACATACATATACACTAACTCGGATTCTCACAGTAGCAAGACCCTGGATCTCCAACATGTCTACAGGGCCCACCAAATCATCGCAACCTATTCGCCTTCAAAGAACCATTGATAGAGCGAATACCAGGCTAGAAAAGCGCTCGGCAAAAAATAACATACCATTGAGCTAGATAGACGGGCGAAAAATGGAGCTGGACATGACCGAAAGGATAAGAGCCTTCGAAGAAGATTCTAACTCCACAAATCCTGATGTTGAAATGGGTGATGTGGTTATCGACCGATGTATCATGGAGGGGCTTGAGAGCTCACAATGAAATATCAATGAACCTTAAGACGATCAGGTCTCAAAGGCCCCCGTCAATATAAACACAAGGAAGATTGTTGTGCCGGACATAAAGCGGACAGCTAATGCTAACTTAAAAAAAGCCGACGAAGTCACGTCCACCATAACACCTCAGAATACCATTCCGGGGGCAAGTGGAAAAAATCAATCTTCTTGCAGCGATAGTAGCTTCAAGAACACTGCGACTTGTCCTCCTGAGCTTCGAGCCATACTTGAAGCTGAAGTACAGCGGGCGGCCCAGACCGCATTTAACCTTACAATATGCACCGCTGCCATCAACGGTGTGGAGAATACACTCGCAACTCTATCCAAAGGGCCGAGTGTTCAATTTATAGACTCCATGAAAGTCTACCTCGGAGCTGCAGTAGCTCAATTCATGTTGTCGGGACCAGGAACAGTCCATACCCCCCCCCCCCACGACCAAACTGCCAGAATCATGGCGGAAACATCGTGGAACAAACGATCGAAAAGCAGCCAGAGCTACTACAAAAAGAGAACCGGGCGAGGATATCTTCCGTCAAGCCTACCTGGGCAACAGTTACCCGAACTGGCCTCCACACGCTGGCAGCACCTGTGAAACATATGCGGGTCCACAACGAACCCTCGGCACCAATGAGACCTCCAGCAAAGGCTCCGAAAATTACCCCCTAAGATGATCGTTTGTCTCTTTGACTCGGAAAAGAAAATGCTTGGCGCGCACTCTCGCCGGCCGGTGTGCGTGATGCGGCAGCAAAAGTGCTCGAGCTTCCCCCGCAAAATATTGAACATGTATATCGTGTTCCGACTGGCTTTGCACTTTGAGCCAAAAACCAGGAGGGACGATAGCTCCTTCTGGACTCTGCTGAGTCTTTCGTCCAGGTAGACGCAATCCTGGAGAAGGCCTCGGATTTAGTGGCCCTTCGTATTGCGACAATTCCCGTCGCAATCCACACACTCCTAGGCAAAGTAGTTGTCACCGACGAGATTGTAGCAGATAAAATCGTCCGAGTCACTAAAAAGGTTCCGGTAAGGGTTCACCCTCATGGAAAAGAGAGAGTCGGAGATCCCTACCAGACATGGGTAGCTCATTTCGAAAAAGCATCCGTCCCAAGACTAGTCTTCCGGCAATTCGACGACTCGGGAATCTCTTTTCGCCATCGGCCACGTCAAACTGTGAGCCAATGCAAGCGATGTCTCTTATACCACGGGACCCAGAGTTACTCGCGCGCCCCAGTGTGCTAGAGCTGCACCTCAACTATGCATTCCACCTCGGAATGCCAAACACATACTAAGTACCGCAATTGCGATGGCCCCCATAGATCAGACAGCTGAGATTGCCTGGCTCGCCCTAACAAGTCCGGAATGGCCTCTAAGGGAACCCTCGAAAGAATCAGGAACGCTAGCCAACTCGAATATTCCGCAGTCATCCGAGCAAAAACCGCCGTTCGACGAGCGGAGGCCGATAGCAAAGCCGCCACTGAGATAGCCAATATAACTCCACCGAAGAACAGCTTCAGTAACAGCTCTGAGGTTCTAATGATGGATGAAACGCCAAATGTGACCGAGGTCACCGAGGCGACTATTCCAAAAAATCACTCATGAAGGGCGCCACACGGGCTCCTTTTCGCCACCCTTCAACTCTAAGTTTCATATTAATAAAGGTAGGTAGAGGAAGTCCAGCGCAGAGCATTGCAATCGCCCGAGCATTCGAGCTGAGTGTCGACGTTGTTCTAATTCAAGAGCCTCTGTGGAAGAAAGAGACAATGGCGCATCCCGGATATATTTGTCATCTACCTCATGATGAGAATAAGATCAGGCTATGTTGTCAAAGCTAGATAGCTGAATACAATATGATTCAAAAAAAAGATCAGGCCAAGGGCTGTGACCTACACACGGAAGGATGATGGGAAGATATCTGCGAGGCAATCCTTCCTCTATGCTTCGCTGACGGGCGACTATTGCTGGGTGCTTGTGAATAGAGTCACCTTCTTCAACGTGTATAAGGCGCCTAGAGACATGTCAGCCATACAACCACTTGTCAACTGGAACCCGCCACTGAACTCGATCGCTGCGGGTGATTTGAACTCT